AAAAATCCGCCTCTATTTAATGTAACTTATATAAATACATATTGAAGCAAAAAGCTATTTAAAAGTAATTTGCTTTCAAGCTTAGCCAAACACGTTACAGTCACTGGCTATGTGCACCTATTTATGTAGATTTATATTTGAGTATTTGGGGCAATTGTTAGGCAGACAGTTAAAGAAGACAAAGCCCTGTTCTATGAAGACTGGAAAGAGTGTATTGAACCGCTTCTTGGTTCGGCTTTATTGGAGCTTAATCCGAATTTTTTTAGCATCCAAGAGTATTTTACTGCAAGAAGTCTGATTTCTTCGCGGTCTTTTGAGATAGACAAATACCATGGATTTGGGATGGTTCCTTTGGCAGACCTGTAAGTTCTACGTGATCTTGTGATTTTTGTAATTTTATTGAAACTAGCTCGACATCATGCACATAGCACAGGGAAAATATTTTTACATGAAAAAAATGTCCAAATAGCTATTAATGAAGGAAATTGGGATTAAAATGAAACGGAAAAGTAATGTTTTGTTTAGCAATCAAATTAATGCATGATTGTACTTCCTTGTTCGTATAAAGCACAATGGACCATTGTAGAGAAATATCCATATTCCATATATCTCTTGTACGAGCAATGGAAAATCTTCATCTTGTAAACATTTGCAACTTCGTATTCATAATATGGCAGCAAGGGTAGTTTTCTGCTGATAATTTCACAATTTTGGTCATGAATGTACTTTAAGATGGAATTTACTGGCAGGGCTAAACACCATGTAATCTTTAGTACTTCATATATCAAAATTAATCCTCATTTGAACTTCATCGACAGCATGGAACTATTTGAAAGCTTAAGGAAGTTCAAAAATGTATTTTCTGAAATTATAAGAGTACATAATATGATAATACGAGCGCTTATTAAGAATGCAACATTGATCTGTCATTTGTTGTAGTAGTTGACTCAAGTTTAACCCTCCTGCCCCCATTTCATTTCAGTTTATGCTTTGATTTTCAATCCACAAACAATATTTGTTGCATATTTTCAAAAGATCTAAGCCTTCCCACTTCTATTTATTATTTTTTATTTTTTTAAGACCAATGTACAAAATCCAGTAATTTCAAGATATTTGGTAGAACTTTTAACATGAATTATTATGCATCAAATGGATATCACTTTGGACAATGCTTTTTCTTTTTCGTTCTTGTTTTCTTGTTATGGTATAGATGCTAAATTTTTCGGTGTGCTTAGTAAAGAGGATTGGATAGTAATGGACAATATTAAGGAAGGAAAAAAAGCTAAAATCTTCATCATTTTGTGTCTAGACTTATCCAGAATTGTGTTCCAAACTAGCAGTCTCTGTTTAAATCACCAAGGTTGAGCAATTGTTAGAAGGGGTCACCATTCAATGATGAGTAGTATTTCTGTTAAGCAATAATAAATGCTCTTGAACAAGCAAACACCTGGATGTGGTAGTATTTGCAAGTTCATCATGCTGATTCCCTTTCAAATGTTCTGTAATTTGAGTTGAAGACTTTAATTTCTGTTTTCCTACTATTACAGTATGCAAATATGAAAATTTAAAAAGAAAAAAGGGGTTTGGAAAGAAACCATGAATTCTGAAACACAACATCAACTCTAGTTCGCGCTCGTTCACCATGAATCCGTATGCTGTTATCGTGACCAGTCTTCCACTGAATCATAGTGGATTATTTGCATGTAAAGGCATAGTGGATTAACTGTTTCCATGTCTTTTGTGAATCGGCCATCTAGAATTACATGTCATTTACGCAAGTGCAGGAATAACCGTTGATCTTATATTACCTCTTTTTATTAAAAAAAGAAAAAAATGTTATTGGCAGGCCATAAAAATTTTAAAAAAAACTGTCCTGTTCCTCTTTGTTATTGCAATGGTTTTGTTTTGTCCAATTCTTAACAAATAAAATATTCTACAATGTCCAGCTTTAATCACAAGACAGCTGCTGAGGATGTTCACTTCACAGCCGTATCTTCTCATTCTGAATCAGAAAATGACTCTGACATTGACAACAGCGATATTGATAATGAAATTGATGGAGATGATGAACCCATGGCTCAAGATTCTTATTCTGAAAAGGATGGTTTTAGTGGGGGTGATATGGGGTCTTCTTGGACTTCAGGGGATGACCCAACATTTCTGGAGATGATCATGATTAAAGATGTTAAAGCTGGAGCTGAGGTATGGACTTCTTTTTTCCAATAATTTTTTTTTCTTCTATTTCTTTATGTCAGCTAAAGGTAGTTTGTTATAACTGCTATTAGAATGTTGTTTTGCTTGGTTATATTTTTGTATAACAACGTGAGTTTTGTTCTTGGAGATAGATTGACCCCGTCTTTTTTGAGAGTTGTATCTGTCAAGATGGTCATCTTCTCTATTTAACTTTTCATAGGTAGTTTAGACTTAGCAGCTAGTTTAACTCGGCCTTGCCAAAACACCTATTGATGTGGACACAATTCTAGCAGTCGCTCAAAGAATTTTACTTCCAGAGTTTTATATAGGTTCTCTGGTTAGTTTTACTAAAAAAATTGTGCTACTAACAAGAGCTCCTGAATATCGCTCCACTTTCTAGAAATTTCATTCCTGATCATGAGTTGGAATTATGCTTTTATGTGCACATATAGCTCGTTGCTGAAGTATGCTTCTGAGGAAATGAAGTGTGAGCATAAGGCTTTTGAATGTTACAATAATTTTACCTTGGGAATCACTGACACTCTGTCGGCATTTCATTGTCCAACACCGCTACGTCTCCAACACGTTGCCGACTCGTGGTTGAGGTCACTTGCGAAGAAGAATTGAAGAATGCATGTTTATTCAGTGAAATAGGCGGCGAGGCACAACTAACAACAAACTTTGGGCTGCTAGATTGGATTTCGGTCATGTGGCTAAAGAAACCGAAGAAGCTAAATCCTAATTCTTGGAAGAATAACTGAACAGGTTGCGATTTCAGTCAACAACTTTTTTTTTTTTTTCGATGACCGTGGGTGTCCAAGTCAGTTTACGTGCACCTTGACAAATCCTACGAGGTTCTGAAGTTTACAGTCGAGTATTCACTTCAATGACTTTAAGGGAACTCGAACTAGGATTTCAATCAACAACCTTAAAAACTAAAGACAGTAAACCCAAATTTGTTGAAGAAAAAGTGAAGAGGCGTGTTTAGGATATATAGTTAATGGAAAAAAATCAAATTGACTTAATTTCTTAACAAGTGAATTACTCTTTTACCCCCAATTCAAAAATAAAAGAGAGGTTTTCTAAATCTAAAAAGGAGGCAAACCTTTTACCACTATAATTTCCCATTTTACCTCCAATCTCTCTGTGGTTTGGCTGGAGAGTATTTGAGAAGTCTTCGCTAAGCTAGCTCAAGCTTACTTCTATGGGGTCTGCCTTTCATTGAATTGAATTTCAGTGAGGGTTGTGGGGTAAGGGAGGCTGACAACGATTGATGGCTAGCTCGGGATAGCCGCTGTCGAAAATGCTACATTTGGAGCCTTAACGGGGAGCCATTGCGTTCGGGAATGATACATGATAGCCCGCCCTTAATGGTAACGTGAAAGTCAGAACTAAAAGCAAGCCAAAAGAAAGATTTAAGAAAAGCAGAAGAGTGATTGCTAGCGGAAGAGCTACTATCAGGAGAACTAGAGCTCCTATTATAAATCAAACTTGTAAAGGAATCCTAATTATTACTCTAGACTGTTAAAAAGGAAAAATTAAAAATATAATATTTTAATCAATGTGTCGATGACGTATCCAAAAAAATTGCGTGCCTGTATTGGTGCTTCTTACTTCTTAGATTTAACCCCATATAATTTAATCCATGAAATTTTTTCTGGAATTATTTGCAATCATGTATTTTGTTTTTGTGTGACTGATGCAAAGTTGTCTACTTTTTGTAAACACTTATGGTTTATTGATGCCTCTTTCCATTGCAATCTTTTCAAGTTTTTAACACATATGGATCCTTGGGTAATGCTGCACTTCTGCACAGATACGGCTTCACAGAACCCGATAACCCATTTGACATTGTCAATATAGATCTAGAACTTGTCCTTCAGTGGAGTTCATCTTTATTTTCATGTCGCCACAGTAGACGAAGGTTATCACTGTGGAGAAAATTGGACTATTCTGGATGTTTTAGTGAAAACACCGAATATTTTGAAATCTCATTTGATGGGGAACCAGAAGTTGACTTGTTGGTTTTACTTTACATAATGTTGTTACCTGAGGAGGAATATCATGAAATTGATCTTGCATTATCGGCTGTGGGAAATCTCAACAAATCTCCAAGCCTCTGTTTCGCAGGAAAAGGGAACATTCTGTTTGTGAAAGGATCAATGAGCAATAATTTATTGCCAACTAAAGATGTTTGTGAAGCTCTTTTGTCGCTGGCAGATTCCCGGGAAGCTTTGTATGGTCTTAGTTCTCTGGATGATGACATTAAATCATTGTGTGGGTGTTGCCGCGCAACTGAGTTTAAATTATATCATTCCTTGATGTTACGTATCAGTGAGAGGAAAATCCTCGAGAAACTGAGATGTTATGCTGCTGCTGCTGCTGCTAGAATTCCGACAACCGGTAAGGGAGCTTATTCAAGGAGAAAAGTGAAGAGGACATGATCTCTGTTATAGTGAATAATTGGAAGTACCCTTTGCAAATTTATACGTTTCTGGTACTGATTGCTACTGCTTTTGTACCAAGCTATGGAGTCATTGAAGTTGGAAGAACTCGAGTTACAGAGTTGGAAGATATTGCCATTTATTTTGAAATTTTGACATCTTGCTGGGATCATACGAGACTATGTTGTACGCTACACATGGAATTTGAGATATATCTGCCACCGACACTGAAATTCGTGGTGTTTCTTCATTACTAGTCTCCAATGCGTCGACTCTACTTTTAAGGTCAGTGAGCGTATAACATAATATTGTAAGACGACAAGCTTACTCCCTGTATCTTCCAAGTGAACATGCTTACTGGACTAAGTTCGAGATGCTCGGTGATAACAACATTGAAAGTTGACGCATTATGTAACTTTTCGGTTGTTGACATATTATCAATTGGATAACTTGCTAGCTTAAAACTCTTTAAAGTTGTATTTTCATATTTGAAAGTTGTGTAAGTTAATTTGAAGTACAAACTTCATCTCTTTAGCCCTTGTTTGGTGTGGCTTAAAATTTTGTTTAAAAATTAAATTAAAGCCAACAATTAGGGTGCGTTTGATTACAAGTAGGAAAATTACATGGAAAGAAAATGAATTCCAAGGAATTGAATTACCTAGAAATTGTTTTCATGGAAATTGTAAATTATTGTGTTTGATTGTATAAATTTTTCACGTGGAAAATGTTGAAGTAAAAGTATTTTTTGATGTTCGTTTGACTTTGTTTTACGTGGAAATTGTCAATTTCAGGAATATCATCTTTTACAATTATTCCTAAAATTTGTTCCCATTGCCAACAATTAAAAAAAAAATAAAAAAAGCAAAAAAATAAAATAAAAAAAGGTGGAAAACCAAAAACCACCTATCCCCTAGGAAAAAAAAAGGTGGAAAATCACGCTTTAAGGTGTTGTACCTAGAAATTCGTGGAAAATCAATTCCCTGGAAAATTTTGTCAATCAAACAGGCCAAAAGTGGAAGTTGGAATTCGAATTCCAAGTTCCATGGAAAATTTCGTGCAATCAAACGGGGCCTTAAATTTAAACATACATTTCATCAATTTTTATTAAAATTTTGACTTTTAGCTACACCAAAGCTTGTGAAGTTAGTAGTAACTTTGTCAAGGGATGTTCAGTGGGCAAACTTTGGATATACTCCCTAATGGTCGCTAGTTTGAGTTCTCTCAAGGCCACTCAGGTGAGTACCCGACTGTAAACTTTAGGATTCCATGAGATTAGTCGAGGTGTACGTAAATTAGTTCGGACACTCACGGTCATTAAAAAAAATGATCGCTAGAGATAAGCTGAGTCTTAACTATGAGATAAGAATTCAAAAATGACGGTTGAAATAGTAAAATAATGGTCAAATAATTGATTTTAATTGATTTTTAAGTTGTATCAAACAAGCTCTTAATTTGAAATATACAGACAAATTATTTAATTAAGAATGCGTTTCCAGAATTAACAACCAATTATATAAGGTAATTAAACAATCCCAGATCTCGTAATATGAGTTCCCCTTAGCATCACATAAACGTTTAATGCACTAGATGTTATCTCTGACCTTGCCATATGTAGGCATTAAAAAAAATATTTTTTTTAAAAGAAAAACGAACTCAAATTAGTAACCAGTATGAGAAATGCTATTCGTACAGACTCATTTGCACAGAGTCTATACAGATGCTCTCACATAGAGGTGGACCCCACACATGGGGTCCACATGTGGGGTCCACCCCCATATGAGAGGCCCTGTACAGATCTTGTGAAAATGGGTCTGTACAAGGAGTTTATTCCAACCAGTATTGCCCATTTATTAAGAAATTGACTAATATACCGAGTTTTTTAAGTTTTCAGTAATACATTGAATTTTACAGATAGAAAAAAGCCAGAATCAGTCCCAATCAAACCCTAAATCTGTTATTTGTTTTTGTTGATTTCTAGCCAACACGCTATTGGAGTTTCGGGCCAGCTAATCCCCATCAACACCACCATTGCCGTCCTCGTCGTGACAACTAGTGTTTCTGGCTATGATTTTAGGGATGAAGAAGATATTGGCGCCTACACCATCAAGGTTGTGGACAATCTAAGAACATCGAATAAGATCCTTTTACATCAAGCCTCCTGAGAACATATATTCATTCAATGATCTTGTTGCTTTGTGGGAGAAAAATATTGGCAAAACTCGAGAAAAAATATGTTTAAGAGGAATAGCTTGTGAAACAAATCCAATGTGAGCATTAATACTTTTATTGAATTCTTGATCAGTGCTTTATGAAAATTAATCTTCTTGTTCTCATGAGTCGTTGCAGAATCTCCTATTCCTATCAATGTCGCACTTTCGATCAACCACTCAACTTTTGTGAAGGGTGATCAGACCTATTTTGAGATTGAGCTATCATTTGAGGTTGAGCTATCATTCCTCGGAGCTCTATCCAAATGCCAAAAACAACACAGTCAAGGAGTATTTCGATCGATTTGTTTGGGATGTGAGAACTGAGAAGTGCCTTAATAAAGTTAGTCTGATATCTTATGAACTTCTGAGGTGTAATCAATCTTCTATATGAAATGTTTGTGTCCTTGATCTTCACTTATTGAATGACTTTGTTTTCAACCCTTTATTTATTATTTTTTTTTTTTTTGGGTAGTGTTATGCCTATTCTGATTAGGCTCCAGACCATCACCACGTGAGCAGCTAAGTGGCAAGTACCCTTTCCACATCTAATCCACATGTAACGCCTCATCCGATGTGCCTCAGAGGACAACTATCACATGGACAAAGTTTGGTAAAATACTTAGCCAACTTTTGCCTATGATGGCACTGAGTTTTCACTCCATCAGCCCATGAATTCGCACAATACACACAACGATAAAGGCGGTAATGTTAAGAAAGGAACACATATTTTTACAGATAATCACCAAACTCGTCTTATTACTCCACAATAATACAAGAACACACAACTTTTTTTTGTGTCTCATCCACCTGATCCTGCACTTATTTATAGCCAAAACTCATATGCAGTTAACACCTTTAACTACGAAAGGGATAAACCAACCCACTATGGTTAAAACTGCCAAAAAATTGCCTCCCATGACATCTCCCAAAAATTGCCCATACTTTCCACTAGTATGGACCAAGAAAATTGCCCAATACATGCCAAACATGTGCTTGTTCTGGACACCCAAATTTGTGGACTAGAGCACACTGAACAAGAAGTTGGACCCATCCATGTCTTCGTAATTTCTGCCAACTTGCATCACTTTGACACCGGCCAAACTGAAGCAAAACGCCCACAAATTGAAACCCACATTTGCCTTGCTCCCGATTCCCAAAGTGTACACCATCAACATACTTGTCCGTGCAATTTTAGCATGAAGGCAAGGCATGCCCATATCTTTGTGCATGTCAACCTTTAAGGGGCTGACAACAACCCTCTAGGTAGATCTTTTTAAACAATATCTTAGCCGATGAGATGCCCGAAGTGATGAGTTGCTTTACTAATGAAATACATCTCATGATTCACATCTCCCAAAGAGATTTTTTTAAACAAAGCTTTTTATGATTGATTGATGTGACGTCTCTGTAGTAGATGTCCAAAAGTCAAGTCGTCAGTCCACTTTTCAGAGAATTAAATGCCCTTCAACTTGTGATTGACGAGTTAATACCTAGAAGACACGGGATGCCCCTGCCACTAGATGAAGCCACGTATCTTCTCATCTTACAGTCAGCACCTCACATTCACCACTATATAAACTCACACACTTAGCCCTTTGCAAGTAATGCAATTTTACACCTTAACCATACATATTTCTCTACCTCCATATATTCTCCACGTGACTTGCGTTCCATTATATATCTCATCGTTATCGATTGACTTGACAATTGGAGTGATCATCACCACCTTTACAACCACTAGAGAAGGCGACGGTTGAATAATGGTTTTATCTTAGTATACAGGAGAGTATCTACATGAAGTCGTGAGCTTTTGGTCACGTTAGAGATACATTTTTTTAAGTCAACAAGTAGCATTTATTCAATGAAAAATACTAGAATCCTTTATGAATCATCATGATTGATGTTTTCGATTTCTGATGAAGTACTGTATTCTCTTACTGATTTTGAGTAGACAAAAGATTTGTTGGTTGTAATAGAAATTTTTTTGAAACCCAAAGCAGATAAAAAAATCTTTCGAATGAGGGGGTCTCTTTATTCTACACAAAAGGGCAGCTTTAACTATGATTAGATTCTACAATAAACTCAAAGGAATTGTCGATAAGCTTGCTGTAGCCAACCCGCTCAGAAAGTTAAATTGATTTTTTATCTTGCTTATGAATAATATCGAAAGGGATTTCAGAGGTTTCAATTGTCCCAAAATTTTAACACTAATCAAAATTCTTTTCCATTAGAATTGCCAAAATATCTTAATTATTATAGTTGATGTTCAATATTATTTGTCACATCTTTGAGTTGTTGTCACTTTTTTAATTTTTATTACTTTATTTAATAGCTTTCAAATTCATGTTAATATGTTGTTAATAAAAGTGAAACATAATTCAAAGAGACAAAATGGAAAAGAAGATCAATCGTTCCATGAAACTATTCTAAGATTTTGATTGGTGTTAAATATTATTTGTTACTTTTTTTAGTTTTAGTTCCTTTTTGAGTTTCTATCACTTTATTGAATTGCTTCCATATTTATTATTTAATGCCACAAAAAGAGAGATGAGACAGAGATGTGAAGGTTATGTACAAACAATGATTTGGTTCAAATGAAAGACATGATATACTATTGAGTTAGAGATGAAGATGTATTTGATGAGACAAGAATAACCTGTAAATTGCATTGAAAATGTTCGATGATAGGTGATTTGTATACGGCTAACAAGTTTTGATGCACAGTGATGGTGTTTATACAATTTTTTTTTTTAACATTTGCATTTTGTGACATTTTCATTAAAAAATGACATAACATGTTGTGCTACTTTTTAATTCAAATATCACAAAATCAATTTCTAATAGAACATTATTTCTTTGACTAAACTTTCAATATGCTTATAAGAATTTTTCTTAGATGTTAAATTATTTTGTATTATGTTAAATGTGAACGAAGTTTTCATTATAGAAAAAGTGACATCGTACGTTACTTTTTAATTTTAAAGTCTCATTTAACTTTACGCTGATAATTTTGTTAAGTTAACGTAACAAATAGTCCAATTAAGTCTATTGAAGCTTCAATCCATTGTAGCCCATTTGTGAAGCCCAAGCAAATGAAGAATTTGTCAGGAGACATATGTCTAATAACTAAACACCAACTATCAAAATTTATTATCGACTCATTCTATAAATTATTATTTTGGTATCTTATTTTCCTTAAAATAATAACAAAATTACATTTGAATCTTTACATGAAATATAAATTTTATTAAGTTAGCAAGTCTAATGGAGATTTTGAAGTTAGATGGAACTCTAGAAAATATTTATTTTCTCTCTGCAAC